TGAGATTGAGCCCCGAGTCAGGCTCTGTGCTCAGTGTAGAGTCTGCTTGAGATTCTCTCCCCTTCTCCCTCTGCTCCTCCTACTCTCATTCTCTCTCTCTCAAATAAATACATCTTAAAAAAAGAAAACAAATTCTTCAGCAGAAGGAAAATGATACCAGACAGAAACTTGGCTCTACATACAAAAAAATGAGATATCCAGAAATGGTTGAAGATATTATAAACACATTTTTTCTTATTTGTAATTATAAAAGACTGTTTTCTAATGCAAAAATAGCAGTGTTTTGGAACTTAAAACATGCGTAAAGTAAAATGTGTGAGGAATGTGAAGAGTGGGGAAAGGAAGAATTGGGAGTATGGTACTTTCAGGTTTTTATATTCTAAATGAAGTAGTATAATATTTGAAAGACTTATTTATTTATTTATTTTTAAAGGTGATTTATATTTATTACTTCATTTGATTCTTTTTTTTAAATTTTATTTTATTATGCTATGTTAGTCACCATACAATACATCATTAGCTTTTGATGTAGTGATCCGTGATTCATTGTTTTTGTATAACACCCAGTGCTCCATGCAGTACGTGCCCTCCTTAATACCCATCACCGGGCTAACCCATTCCCCCTACTCCTCTCCCCTCTAAAACCCTCAGTTTGTTTCTCAGAGTCCATAGTCTCATGGTTCATCTCTCCCTCCAATTTCCCCCCCTTTATTTTTCCCTTCCTTCTCCTGATGTCCTCCATGCTATTCCTTATGTTCCACAAATAAGTGAAACCATACGATAATTGTCTTTCTCTGCTTGACTTATTTCACTTAGCATAATCCCCTCCAGTCCCATCCATGTTGATGTAAAAGTTGGGTATTCATACTTTTTGATGGCTGAGTAATATTCCATTGTATATATGGACCACATCTTCTTTATCCATTTATCTGTTGAAGGGCATCTCGGCTCTTTCCACAGTTTGGCTATTGTGGACATTGCTGCTATGAACATTGGGGTGCATATGGCCCTTCTTTTCACTACATCTGTGTCTCTGGAGTAAATACCCAGTAGTGCAATTGCTGGGTCATAGGGTAGCTCTATTTTTTATTCTCTGAGGCACCTCCACACTGTTTTCCAAAGTGGCTGTACCAACTTGCATTCCCACCAACAGTGTAAGAGGGTTCCCCTTTCTCCACAACCTCTCCAACATTTGTTGTTTCTTGCCTTGTCAATTTTTGCCATTCTGAGTGGTGTAAGGTGGTATCTCAGTGTGGTTTTGATTTGGATTTCCCTGATGGCTAATGATGATGAACATTTTTTCACGTGTCTGTTAGCCATTTGGATGTCTTTGGAGAAGTGTCTGTTCATGTCTTCTGGCCATTTTTTGCCTTGATTATTTGTTTTTTGGGTGTTGAGTTTGAGAAGTTCTTTATAGATTTTGGATACCAGCTCTTTATCTGTAGTGTCATTTGCAAATATCTTCTCCCATTCTGTGGGTTGCCTCTTTGTTTTGTTGACTGTTTCCTTTGCTGTGCAGAAGCTTTTTATCTTGATGAAGTCCCAAAAGTTCGTGTCTGCTTTTGTTTCACTAGCCTTTGGAGATGTATCTTGAAAGAAGTTGCTGTGGCCGATGTTGAAGAGATTACTGCCTGTGTTCTCCTCTAGGATTTTGATGGATTCCTGTCTCACATTGAGGTCTTTCATCCGTTTTGAGTTTATCTTTGTGTATGGTGTTAGAGAATGGTCGAGTTTCATTCTTCTGCATGTGGCTGTCCAATTTTCCCAGCACCATTTATTGAAAAGACTGTCTTTTTTCCACTGCATATTTTTTCCTGCTTTGTTGAAGATTATTTGACCATAGACTTGAGGATCCATATCTGGGCTCTCTATTCTGTTCCATTGGTCTATATGTCTGTTTTTGTGCCAGTACCACGCTCTCTTGGTGATCACTGCTTTGTAATATAGCTTGAAATCGGGCAACGTGATGCCCCCAGCTTTGTTTTTCTTTTTCAACATTTCCTTGGCGATTCGGGGTCTTTTCTGATTCCATACAAATTTTAGGATTGTTTGTTTCAGCACTTTGAAAAATGTCATTGGAATTTTGATCGGGATGGCATTGAAGGTATAGATAGATTGCTCTGAGTAGCATAGACATTTAACTATGTTTATTCTTCCGATCCAAGAGCATGGAATGTTTTTCCATCTTTTTGTGTCTTCTTCAGCTTCTTTCATGAATGTTCTGTAGTTTCTAGAGTATAGATCCTTTACCTCTTTGGCTAGGTTTATTCTGAGGTATCTTATGGTTTTTGGTGCTGTTGTAAATGGAATTGTTTCTCTAATTTCTCTTTCTACAGTTGCATTGTTAGTGTATAGGAAAGCAACTGATTTCTGTGCATTGATTTTGTATCCTGCCACATTACTGAATTGCTGTCTGAGTTCTAGTAATTTGGGGGTGTAGTCTTTTAGGTTTTCCTTATTTATTGGAGTTATATATTGTGAATTCTGGGGCAACCACTAAAAATTTAAAATGGAGATAAGACTAAGCCAAGTAGTGAAGAAAGAGGGAATCGTAAAAAATCCTCAGTCCAAAAGCATAAAAAAAGAGGGATAAAAGAACAAAGAATAGGTGGAACATATAGAAAACAGCTAGCAAAATGGTAGGTTTTAATCTAAACATCAATTATGTTAAGTGTAAGCAGTCTAAATATATCAGTTAAAAAACTGAGATTGTTCAGATTTTATATAAAAAAAGATCCAACTGAATGCTACCTTTAAGAAACCCACTTTTAATATAAAGGTAGATAAATGATTGGTTAAAGGTAAAAGAATAGGAATAGCACACCATGGAAATATGAATTCAAAGAAGGCCAGAGTGGCTATATTAATATTAGACAAAGTAGATTTCAGAACGATGAATATTACCTGTGATAAAGACAGATTTTACATTATGGTGGAGGGGTCAGTCACAAAAACATAATAATTCTAAATATGTATGAACATAACAGAGCTTATATACATATATATATATATATATATATATATATATATATATATAACAAAGAAGAAATAGCTAAATCTATATTTATAGCTGGAAACCACAACACTCATCTCTCAGTAGTTCATAGAACAAGTGAAGACAAAATCAGTAAGGATAGAAGAGTTTAATAACACTACTAACTTGACCTGATTAAGAGTGGACCACCCCACTGCACACCAGCAGAATATACCTTTTTTCATGTGTACATGGAGCATTCAGTTAGACCATAGTTGTTATCATATAACAAATACAAAAGAATCAAAATGATGTATAATACGGTCTCTGACTAAAAGAAATAAACTAGAAATCACTAATAGATACCTGGAAAATTTCAAATATTTGATAATTGTTCAACACATACATGGGGTGGGTGGTGGAGGTTGTCAACCTGAATGTCATCTGAAATCATAGAGGGTGAAGATTTGGGGGGAGGACTTCTACTGGGGCTAAAAAAGATAAGTGGTGTCCTTGATTATGTTCTGTTTTGGGGGCAAAGTTACCAACGTATGGATAATTTTTTTTTAAAGATTTTTTATTTATTTATTTGAGAGAGAGAGTGAGAGAGAGAGCGCATGAGAGGGGGGAGGGTCAGAGGGAGAAGCAGACTCCCTGCTGAGCAGGGAGCCCGATATGGGACTCGATCCCGGGACTCCGGGATCATGACCTGAGCCGAAGGCAGTCCCTTAACCAACTGAGCCACCCAGGTGCCCCCGCATGGATCATTTAAGTACAGTTGAGAGAGAAGAGAAATATTTTGATAAAATTACTTAGGTTGGTGAATTTAGTGCTAAGGTCTAAACTGTATTATGGTCAGTAATGTACTTCTTGTTCCTTCCTGCAGGAGATGTGCAGACTAGTTGAAGGCCCTTTTTCCTACTGGATCATGGTTTATGAAACTAAACCCGCCTTTGTAAGATCCAGAGATTAGTGTGTCTGGATCTAAGACTGTTTTTTCTGTGCTTTGGTATTTCTGGTGTTATCAGGCCTAGATTGTCAAAGAACAGAAGATGCTCTCATTTCTTAGAGTAGGAAGATGTGAAAGGATTTTATGATCACATAAATGGAAATGTAGGTTCCAAAAGTTGATATAAATACAACAATCAGGCATATAAACACAAATACAAATCTCTGTGTAGTGCTAAAGCAAACACTTAAAGGAAATTAAATGTTCTGTAATGGGATTGGGGTATGGGGTATCAGTTAAAATGTAGAATATTCATATAATTCACATCCATGGAGTTGAATTTTACACAGCCATTAAACATTACAACTCAGACTGTCAACATCTAAAAATGCTTGTGACATAATATGGAAAAATCAGAATATACATTTCCTACACACTGTGAATAAAGCTAAAAGTACTTATATTTATGAACTAAAAATAAGTAGTCCAAATGCAGGTAATTTTTTCTGTTTTACTTTTTATACTTTCAGAAATGTTGTTGTATAGCATTTGTAGGTGAAAAGAAATTAACCACTTTTTTAAAAAATCAACTTCATTTTTCAGAGCAGTTTTAGGTTCATTAGCAAAATTGTGCTGAAGTTGTAAAGATTTCCCATATATCCCCAGCTCCCACACTTGCATGGCCTCCCTCATTATCAACATCCCTCACCAGAGAGGTCTATTTATTACAACTGATGAACCTTTAGTGATTAAGCAGTAACACTCAGAGTCCATTTCCACTTTCTTTTAAAATGAAGTTGTCTGAATTTTGAAATTTCATCAGGGTTTCTTGGTCAGCAATCCAGAAATCTGGAGGCAGGGACTCTTTGATTCCTCCTAGAGGCCAGACTTGGTCAAATTGAACAAGTTGGGAGGTTTTTTCCAGTCAACCCTCCAAAAGACCTCTATACCCAGCTTACTTAGCCTCTGAACTCTATTCCCTTGCGGTCAGAGGATGGGATCTGCCTTTTTGGTTGTTATTGAGCAGTCCTATCTGCAGTGTTACGTCTGAAATTGTCTCCCTCCGTCTCTCTCTAGGGAGTGCATTTTCAGCTGAGCACCTCAAGCTTCAACTCCAGAAGGAATCCCTGAATGAATTGAGGAAGGAGTGTACTGCGAAAAGGTAAATGCAACACCGAGAATAATGGTTCAGAGTGATGGATTTGCTTTGAGGATAGGATTTGGAAAAGTAGCATTCTTTAAAAGCTGCTGGTATTAATTTATATTCCATACATGTCAGTGTCACATTCATTTATTCAACAAATATTTATGAAGCACCTACTTAGTGTCAGGCACATGCTAGAAGTAGTTATGAGAGCTCCTAGTGTATAGTCATAATCAGAAACGTGAACATTGTTCATCTAATTTTTAAGCCCACAGCACCATGACTTAATGTCTGAATCTTCTCTTCTTATCTTCTACGTGTAGTGTAGCGTATTTTCTTCAGTCCTGTCTTCAGACTTACTCCTGTTTAGTGTTAGTCCACTGGGATTACTGCCACAGCTCCTAGCTTGTCTAACATCAGTCTCTCTGTCTTTCCAGTTCATCCTCCATGTTGCTTCTCAAACCTGTCCTCTTTTTTATTTTTATTTTTTTAAAGATTTTATTTATTTATTTGAGAGAGAGAGAGAGAGCGTGCACATGAGCAGGGGGAGGGGCAGAGGGAGAGGGAGAAGCAGACTCCCTGATGAATAGGGAGCCTGACGAGGGGCTTGATCCCAGGGCCCCGGGATCATGACCTGAGCCAAAGGCAGACGCTTAACTGACTGAGCCACCCAGGCGCCCCAAACCTCTCCTCTTAAAATACTAGTTTTACCATATTTCTTCTCCTCTTAAGGAGTCATGGTGATTATTTTGCTAAATTTTCAAATAATGTTCAATAAATTGGCGCTATACAACTGTAGCTAATTTCAGTCCTCCACAACATTCATTTAACAGATGCTAATAGTTTTTCTCTTTATTTTTTTCCAGCACATGCTTAATTTGATGCCACCTCTGTTCTTTTGCTCATGTTTACTCACTTTTTCTGGAAAGTCATCTCATCCTACATTTTTCTTCAAGAAACCTTAGCAGTTGAGCATTCAAGAATGTTAGACCTGGAAAGAACCGTGGAGATCATCTGGTCTAATCTTCTCAATTTGCAGATAGGAAGGCAAAGCTCTGGGAAGTTACTTTGTCCAGATCACGAGGAAAACAGGACTAGATCCCTTTAGGTCTTTAGTGCTCTTTGTGTTTCCTACTACTTTTACATTCCACTTTGACCTACAGTTTTTCTGAATCCCTCTTTTTCTTAAATCGTTAACACAGTTGAGCAGGTAATTTATCCTATAGGTGTTTTATCTCTGGGTCTTATTTCTTTAGTTCAAGAGAAGAGCTATGTCATCTCTTGCCACAACTTACTGTTTGTTCTTTTTATTGTTATTTTCCAAATATGGCAACAGGCTATTTTTTGAGGTAACTGTGAGTGAAAAAGAGAATACTCCTTTAAAATAATACCATATGGATATTTCCTGAAATCACATTGGCCTCAGATTAAATGAGACCCTAGTCTGCTTACTGAGCCTCTCTAAATTTTGTATCCTTGTTTGTAAAATCGGTGTAATGACATCAACCTAATAGAGTTGTTGTAATGATTAAATAAAGCCTTTTTTTTTTTTTAAGATTTTATTTATTTATTTGGAAGAGAATGAGAGAGAGAGAGCACATGAGAGGGGGGAGGGTCAGAGGGAGAAGCAGATTCCCCGCTGAGCAGGGAGCCCGATGCGGGACTCGATCCAGGGACTCCAGGATCATGACCTGAGCCGAAGGCAGTCGCTTAACCAACTGAGCCACCCAGGCGCCCTAAGTAAAGCCATTTGTAAAGCTCCTGGCATATAGTGGTAGGTGCTTAGTCAATGATTATTTTTACCCTTTCCATCTCTTAGCATGGTGCTAGACACACACAGTAGGCCTCAGTATATATTTATCTTGATTTATACTATTTAGAGATAGGTCAGAACTCATGTTAGCTATTATTCTTGACTCTACTTCTGAGTTTCTGTGACCTACTGCAGGCCATTTAATCTTCCTCAATATCAGTTATGTGGAAATAAATGTTAGCATGAAAACATTTTTTTTTTTTTTTTAACAAATGTGCTTTTTATCTTTCTTCATCAGAGAACTCTTTCTGAAGACTAATGCTCAGTTGACAATTCGTTGCAGGCAATTACTATCTGAGCTTTCCTACATTTACCCTATTGATTTGGTAAGTTTCAAATTTTCTGGAAAAAAAATTTTTTTTAAAGATGGTTTCTGTTTGAAATTTTTTCTCAATGAAAAAACTCATTGCTCTAGTCTTAATCATATGCTCTGTCATGATTCATTCAGAAGTTAATATCCATTTAAAAAGTGGGTGGGCATTAGGTTCCACCATTTGATTTTTTATATCAGTTTGGTGGCAGAATGCACTCAACTTCATCTGAAAAAAATGACAAATAATTTCTGGTTTCTTTAAAATCTTTTTTACTCAGCCAGATTATCAACTACCATCAATTCTGACACATACATGCAGATGCATATGTACTGCTTTAAAAATATAATTGCTAATTAATTTGTATTAGTACTATTTAAGAAATTCCTGGGGTAAATGTCAGGATGTAAAGTTTTTGAATCTAGTTTCTTAGAGTAAGTGTAAAAAGTAAAACTTCAATAAAATTAGAATTAGATCACTACTGAGACCCTACGGCCCAGCAATTGCACTACTGGGTATTTACCCCAAAGATACAAATGTAGTGATCTGAAGGGGCACAGTGTTTATAGCAGCAATGTCCACAATAGCCAAACTATGGACAGAGCCAAAATGTCCATCAATAGATGAATGGATAAAGAAAATGTGGTATATATATATACAATGGAATATTATGGAGCCATCAAAAAACGAAATCTTGCCATTTGCAACGACATGGATGGAACTAGAGGGTATTATGCTAAGCGAAATAAGCCAGTCAGAGAAAGACAAGTATCATATGATATCACTGATATGAGGAATTCTTAATCTCAGGAAACAAACTGAGGGTTGCTGGAGTGGTGGGGGGTGGGAGGGATTGGGTGGCTGGGTGATAGACATTGGGGAGGGTGTGTGCTATGGTGAGCACTGTGAATTGTGTTAAGACTGATGAATCACAGACCTATACCTCTGAAACAAATAATACATTATATGTTAAAAAAAAAAAGAAGAAGAAGATAGTAGGAAGGGAAAAATGAAGGGGGGAAATTGGAGGGGGAGATGAATCATGAGAGACTATGGACTCTGAGAAACAAACTAAGGGTTTTAGAGGGGAAGGGGGTGGGGGGATGGGTTAGCCCGGTGATGGGTATTAAGGAGGGCATGTATTTGAATGGAGCAGTGGGTGTTATACGCAAACAATGAATCATGGAACACTACATCAAAAACTAATGATGTGGGGCGCCTGGGTGGCTCAGTCATTAAGCATCTGCCTTCGGCTCAGGTCATCATCCCAGGGTCCTGGGATCGAGCCCCGCATCAGGCTCCCTGCTCGGCAGGAGGCCTGCTTCTCCCTCTCCCACTGCCTGCTTGTATTCCCTCTCTCGCTGTGTCTCTGTCAAATAAATAAAATCTTTAAAAAAAAAAAAAACTAATGATGTAATGTATGATGACTAACATAACATAATAAAATAAAATTTAAAAAAATAATAATTTTTTAAAAGCAAACCAAAAAAAATTTAGAATGATGAGAATTCTTCTTTAGAGAGCCAAATCGCTGAATTTGAAGGTTTTATTTTCTTTTTAACAAAAAACGATTTAAAAGACTGATTTTCTGAGAGGAAAGCTAATAGGATTTTAGGTTGCTCGCAGAATCTTGTTAATTCCACTTAAAAATCTTCATTTATAACGATGAATTGATTGAGGGATTTTTTTTTTTAAGATTTTATTTATTTTAGAGAGCGAGCACATGAGAGGGGGGAGGGTCAGAGGGAGAAGCAGACTCCCTGCTGAGCAGGGAGCCTGATGTAGGACTTGATCCTGGGACTCCAGGATCATGACCTGAGCCGAAGGCAGTCCCTTAACCAACTGAGCCACCCAGGCGCCCCCGAGGGATATTTTTGTAATAAAAATTTTACATGGCTTTTTGCTTAGACGTGATGTTTTAAATGTTTATATTTTTAAAAACTTCAAGTATATATAAGTGTACAGATAGTAGTATAATGAATCATTATATACTCATCATCCAGCTTCAACAATATTATCATTATGATAATATTTTGAGTGTAGGACAGTATTGTCTTTGAGTTAACACTGACCTACTGAATTCTTTGACATTTGACTTAGGGTTTTTTTGCTTTACACAGAAAAAGAATTAATTTCATTCTTTGGTTATATTCGCAGAATGAGCATAAAGATTACTTTGTATGTGGTGTCAAGTTGCCCAATTCTGAGGACTTCCAAGGTATTTTATTTCTTTTTACTCTAAGGATTTGGTGTATATAATAAACGGGTATGTTTCAGAGAAAAATAGAGGTATCTTGAAGTGTTGGTTGCCTAGCACTTTATCCAGAGGGTTTTTGGACCTTCTGTCCCTTCCCAACTGAAAGTATATAGAGTCAGATTCTCTGATGGGAGACTTAAGAGACTATTTAATTCTAATCATGGGAAAAAATTATTGAGTTGTCTATTTGAAATTTAAAAGAAAATCATTTTTAAGTGAGCTTTAAGAAAATCAGACAGTAGGGTTCGTAAGAATACTAATAATCTCTCTGTCCTTTTGGTTTGATTTTCATGAAAAATTTGTATGTGGTTGGGAGCAGAAGAACAACAAACATTAATCTGTTCTGTTGTTATTTAGAAAATCACATTTCTGGTAACATGAAACCACTACCACAAGTTCAACTTTTGTTATACTGTTATTTTTGTCCTCCTTTCAGTAAGAAAAAATGACATTAAAGATATTATAGACTGTGCTTCTTAGTAATTGCTATATTTAAATTATTTTAATTTTCCTATTCTCTTTACCAGTAGGCCAAAGAAAAAAACTTACTTTATTTGACATATTGGTAAAGAGATTTTTTTTTTTATTCTTAGCAAAGTGGGTTCTTTTCCCTTAGCCTATACAATGCTTTGAGGCCTATTAAATACCTTTATAGATTAGTCCCAAAGGTAGTGGTATTATCTATTTGGGAAGAAGTTATTAAAAAACAAAAGGGCATTACTAGTTTTATTTGAGACCTTTTTCCATCTCCCAATAAAGAAAATGTTGTTATTTATGGTCCTTTAACATTTAAGACTAACTTATTACCTCCTTGGCCTTTATACAACAGCCCTTACAACAAGTAGTTGGGACATAATATGAGTGATAAAACAGGAATGGGAAAACCTATGTTAAAGTCCTGGTTCCCTTTCTAGAAACCATGTAATTTGGAGCAAACCATCCATTCTTTGAGTTGATTTCCTAATCGATAGTATGAACATATTGATTCATGTCCTTACCTGTTCTATGTTATTGTTGTGAAGATTAGATCTGTAAAAGCATGACATTTGCCTAATCTTTAATCCTCACAAAAACAAAGGAAACCTATAAGGAAAGTGGTGTAATCTCATATTACAACGTGTAAATGAGCTATTTAGTGACTTGCTCAAGACCACAAAGCTAGGCAATGATCTAGCTGAAATTTGTTTGGTTTCCATTATAAAATGTTCCAATCTCTGTAAGTCATACAAATGTGCTTTGTTGCTAATTTTAGCAGTTATGATGGCCTGAGGGCCATAACACATCTTTTTCCTCATTTATTCATTCATTCAACAAACCTACTGAGTACCTTGAGCCCTCTGCTAGGTTCCAGGGATACAAAACATTCATTCTTTCCTTGAGCACACCAATATGCCAGGCACTGTACTGGGTTTTGAAGATATAATGATAGAAAAAAACAAGTATGTTCTCTCCTTTCAGGGAGCATATATCCTATTAAGGGAGACCGCCAATAAATAAGAAAATAAGTATTTAACAAGTGTTTCATAAAGGAATACGCTATCATAGACAATAGGGGAAACTACTTTAGATAAAGCAGCCAGAGAAGACCTGAGGAGAAACATTTAACAGAAAATTTGAAGGCTGAAAGAATCCACCTCTGCTATATCTGGGGGAAGAGCTTTCCTAGAAGAGGGGGCAGCAAGTACAAAGTTCATGATGGAGGCATAGGCTTGATATATCTGAAAAAAATTCAGGGTGGGGGGGTATGGGAGAAAAGACCTATGTTTTGGGCACATCACGTAATCTCTCAGCTTAATTTTTTCACTGTAAAATGAGGTAATATCTACATCTGTAATTAATTGTGACAGCTGGATGAGATAATATTTGAAAGCACTTTTCATATAAAATATTTATACAAATGTAATTGAAATTAGTTGCAAGAGAGAGGAGGTAAAGGAAAGAAAGTAGGAGGGAAAGAAGGAAGGACAGAAAAGACCAGACCTGTATGATTGGAGAGTGGAGAGCAGGGGGGAAGAGTTACATCAGAGGACATAGGAAAGGTCAGCCAGGGCCTTGAGGCCACTGTAAGGAATTTATGTTTTATTCTCAGTGGAGTGGGAAAACCCTGAAGGGCTTTAAGAAGGGGGATGACATGAGCTGATTTATGTTTTTAAAAGTCACTCTGCCTGCTAAATACAGAATGATCTGCAGGGAGGCAGTAAGGGAAGGATCTCCGTATTGGTGATGGTCACCTTCCTCCACTCGGAGATGTTTCTTGATTCTGTTTTTGTTTTATATGAAGTTTTTTGTTTCCTAGTTTTTCATAGCTTTTGTTAGCTTTTTTAGTATGTCCACCAAACAATATATTTTTCCTACCCTTTAAAAAATTAGTTTAGCTTTTTAGTGCAGTTGCTGAAAAATGAAATGGGAGATGAAATGAAACAAATATGTAATTTTACTCTAAGGCCTTATTCAATCCCTATGACGCCCAGCAATCAGGAATTTTAAGAAGCACATGTGGTAGTGTTAGACTTTAAAATCTTATGTTAGCATTCTGCAAGGCACTTCCGATACTCAATTCACTGAGTGCCTTTTGTGTATCACCTGCCGGGCCAGGTGCTGAGAATACGCAAAGATGTGTAGGGTATTGATCCTACCTCAGTGAGATTTCAGTCCAGGTGAGGTCATTAAACTTGTAATCAAAGCCATCAAGACATATTTATTGATTTCATACTCTGTGTTAGGCACTTTGAAGTTTTTAACAGGGACACAAGATTCAAAGAAGTAGAAATAATCAGTGCCATCAGGAGGGGAGCAGGAAAACCTTTGCAGAGAAGATGGTGCCTGAGGTGTCTTAAAAGACAAAATAGTATTTCCCTGTTGAAAGAAGAGGAAGAGGACATTTTAGATTGGGCGAGTAGAGAAATATGGTAACATGGAACATCATGCGTGGTGCTTCTTGTTTATTTAATTCTCACAACTGTGAGGATGAATTCCTTCTGTGAGAGAAAGAATTATACTCATTTTCTTAAGACAAGAAAATTGAAGCTCAGAGAGATTAGTTAATTTTTCCAAAGACTCATACTAGCCAGTGGCAGAGCTAAAGTCATTTCTGGTCAGCCTGATTTTAAGATTCATATTATTCCTGTCATGATGCACTTTGTGTCCTTGTTTTGAATAAAACCTCTTCCAAACTTCTGACAACTTTTTAGTGTTCTGTAACAGCTGCATTCTCGGTCCTTCTCTAGTAAGGACCTCCAAACTGGTTATTCTGTGATATTCATGAGACTTTGCTGGGACAAACTTTCCATTGCTTGGGTTGACACTGTCTAAGAAACTCTACCATAGCGGCCCAACCTTTATTGTGCTTTTTTAAATGGGTAAGTTACTGGTAGAGTATGCCAAAGAGGCCTGGACATGATGGGAGAAAGTTGTCTGCTGAAGGGTATTCATTTGAGTTCCATTGACTGAGACATTTCTCGTAAAAAAATTGTTTGTGTGTGTTTTTAAGTAATCCATAACACAAGAGCCTTTTGTGGTAATGAGACCCAGATTTCCTTCTGTGTCTGTATCCCTTTATGCAGGCATGATTTCTTGGAAAGGAGAGACCATATGTCAAACAGTGTCTCATTGAGAACATGGAATGATTCCATAGATGCTGTGGCAGTGATTAGAGTCTTAAATATTTTGTCCTGTCTGGATCAGTGGGTGCTTGGTTCCTTAACAAATCAGCTGCCTCAGTGATTGGGAAGGCAGGATGGTAAGAGCCTTTAGATCACTTATTATACTTGGATGCATTTGAATATTAATAGTTTGTCCAACATATAAGTTGAAGGGGCATTTGAATTAATTTTTAATATTGTCATGGCCATTGTGGGTTGATGGTATTTATTATCATAAAAATTACACAAAAGCTGCTGCTCTGAGTAACTATCCTACATTTAAAAAACAAATCAGTATTAATTATTATGAGGAAACTGCAGATTTTTGTTTTGTTTTTAAGCCCCAGAAAACATTGTTAAATAGAATCTTTTTCACACACCTGAGTCTTACAGTTTATTCCTGTTCCTCCGTGAATCCTTCCCTCCCCCGCCCCCCCAACTTCTTCTCACCAGCAAACCTATCATCTGTAACCTTTCTAACCCTCAGAGCAGCATAAGGAACACAAACCTCTGCTCTGCATTAGGTGTTAGGGACGTCATTAATGCTTACTGGAAAAACACACCCCAGAGAGCCAGGTTTTGGCTTTGGTAGGTAAAAAGTCCTTTAGATCTTGGAATGCTGGAAACCTTAAACCTTTTGGTTTTTTAGCTAAAGTGATTGGCAACAGAAAGTGACATCTGAGGTTCGTGGCCAGCAATAGCCATAATTAACCACATGAGCTCACATTTTCCCACTGGAGGTTCAGTGGTCTTGGGGTGATGAAAGTGACTTCCCTACCAGGAGGTGGTTTTCCTTTTGAGGGTATTGGAATACCCTTGGGCCCTGTAATGCCTCACCCGTGGTCTTTTAAAATGCTTTTTAATATAAAGCTTCAATATTGGAAATCCAACACCATGGTGTTCAACAGTGAGGCTGTGCCTGAGCACCGTGGCCTGGAATGGGAAACAACCTAGGGTTTTTAATAGGTGGAGCAGGGAGTCTTGTGGTGGAAACAATGGTGAGTGCCAATAACCAGAATCGAAGCTGATTTCCAGTATTATCTAGTTTCTAGGTTTTGCTGTTTCTGTTTGGATTTTTATTTCCATGTGGAGGCTTCTCTTAGAGATGCCTTTTTATCTTAAATTTAAGCAAAATTGTTTTGATCGTTGAAGAGAGGTGATGTTAGAAGACTAGTTTTTGTTCTTTTAATAGAAATGTGGATGTGGTCTCAAGATTTGCAAATGCAATTTCTTAGTATTAAGCTTTTAGAAATATGGAAAAATGTAGATGCTTGCTTGTTTAGCATTGGATAGGTTTGGGGTTTTTCTGTGTTTTTTTTTTAAGCATTCATAGTTTTCATTTGACCTGTTTGGAAGGCTAATTAAGAGGCCTTCTCCTGCTTTCCAGAAGTTTGCAAATTCTTTTCTGTCTGGCCACATAGGAAAGGAAAAGCTTAGTGTAAAGCACATATAGGAAGGTCCAAACTTAGTGTAGCATTATCCTTTATTACTGTAAATCGTCTTCTTCTTCTCCTCTTCCTTCAAAAGAAGTTTCTTCAAGACCAAGTTCTTTTACTGATAGGAATATTTCAAATTCCATAAGCCTTATCCTTTATGGAAAGCAGGAGATGCAGGATTCGGTGACCTCTGATGGAACTCACTGTCCCAGCTCTGACTCCAGGGATAGGTATTTTGGGGGGCAGGGGTGTATATACAATTCTCCCTCTTATTCCATCACTCATAGATTTTACCTATATGGTTCTGAGCAAGTCACTTATACCACCTAAATCTCATTTTTTCTCATCTCTAAATTGATAGCATCAGACTCAGTGATTTCTGAGATTTCTCGTAGCTCTAACATTATATGATGATTAAATTATAATGTAATGAATTTACAGTGTAGTGTAATGTAATTTTAGTCTCTAAGGTGGTGTGATATACAGACTTCAAAAGAAGTAAAGTGTTACAGTACTCAAGGTACCCGTGTGGGACTGGGGCAAGAGGACATGGCCTCTAAGAACAATTAGGATTCTTGTCAGTTAGGGCATGACTGAGTAGTGAGTTGAAATGAATGCTGTTTCTTTTTTTTTTTTTTTTATCAGTTTAGTTTGAGAGAACATCAAACATTAATTTGAGAAGCTCTCAGTCTAGCATGGCCCAAGTCACCAGAAACTCTCTGTTCTTTGCCCCTACAAGAAAAGTGTGAAGAAACTGAGGTGGTACATGTGTGTCATCTGCTTGGTACATTCTAGGTTCCCAAGTTAAGAAATTGTTATGTGTTCCACAGTAAACTTCTGAGATAGTATGGTAGAGTGCTTAAGGACAGAGGCATTGTTGTCAGGCCAACCTGTATTATATTACTCTGTTACTTGAGACAGATTCCTTAACTTCTTTGACCCTTAGTTTCTTCATCTATGAAATGAATGAAATAGCATATAAAAAGGTACCCAGCTTAGTAATTGTTGATGAATTAATGACTGTCATAAATAAAGTACAATAGTTCCTGGCGGAAGAGAAGTATACAATGAAAGTTACCTGTTTTTATAGGATGATCAAAGGGAAACCAAGAATCTGCCATGATCGTCAATGGTGGAGAACGAACTGATGAATAGATGACTATAAGGGTATTCCTACAACAAGAAGCTAGTACTTAGATAACTAAGTATAAATATTAAAAAGAATGTGAAAAACATTTCTAATAATTGAAGTTAAGGTACCCTTGGAAATCGGGAAACAGTCAAGCCGAGGATATCTCAATTATTTCAGCTTCTCTCTAGCCTGAGATAGTCTAGATTATGTATTAAATCTTTCAGAGTGTGTGTATGTGAACTTTTAAAAGAATTTTGGGAATACTATATACCAAACAGTTGCTTTTTTCTTCCTCCTGGGGCAGGCTTAAAACGTTTTGTTGTATTACTCTGTTCTGAGTACCTAATGATTATTATCACTTGGTAGGTAATAGCAGAAATCTAGATGGTGAGTTAAAAATGTAATTATCTGTGACTTCTTAAAAGATAGATGCTTATGTATTGTATGGTGACTAATATAACATAATAAAATTAAAAAAAAAAAATCACCAAAAAAAAAAGATAGATGCTTGTGTTTGACTGTACGGTACATACATTTTTTTTCCTAATAGTTGCTTCCACCTAAACTGCATAAATAGGATATATATTAACTGTGGTTTTGGCATTTTACTTTTACTGTTTAAAATATTTTTCCTCCATATCCTGTCTCAAATTTCACAGTCTTATTTATGCAACACTATCTTTATGGATATTGAGAACATACCCCGTAAGGATGCATTGTGCTTTTTCACTTCACCTTAGACTTAATTTGTACAATAGTACAACAGTACAACTATATTGATTATAAAGTTAATGAATAAAATACATAATGCTCATATAATGCATTATGATTAAACCTCTGAAACTAATTTTCACATCGTATGATAGAGTAGGTATTATCTCTGCCTTTAAAAAAAAAAATGCCGGGAAGGAAAAAAAGTAATGGATATTTGAGTGTACTAAGAACTCTTTGTTAAGGTATATATGGAATGCTAATCTCATCACAATAATTATTGAACAATAGTTCTAAATATAGTAGATGAAATTTCAAGTCTTCTTAATATGTTTAGATTTGTATAAAATTCATGTAATTTAGATGTGATTAATATTTTATTTACTCTCTTGAAATTGATTATGATCTTGTAGCTACATTTATAAGGTAAATAGTTGTTTGCTTTTTCTCTGCTTTTGAATTTACAGCAAAAGATGATGGAAGCATTGCTGTTGCCCTTGGTTACACAGCACATTTGGTCTCCATGATTTCCTTTTTCTTACAAGTGCCCCTAAGATATCCTATAATTCATAAGGGATCTAGATCAACAATCAAAGATAATATCAATGATAAGCTGACTGAAAAGGAGAGAGAGTAAGTATCTTTTTTTATGTACTTTTAACATAAGCCAGTTTGAAATATGGAGTATATTAAAAATATGAAATGTGACCTAGACTGTGGTGATTTTTTGTATATCCTTTGTAAAGTGCTCCATTTCTTTTAAGTAGAATGTGGTTATTCATTTAGATTATAATAAATCAAATCCTACACTTCTTAAAATTGTTAATGATAGCAAGGTTGACTCATTTAAGTTTAATTTGCTTTTGTGAGAAACAAGTATTATATACTCTGCAGATATTCATGTAGTACCTGTTGCCTCTAGTTACCAAGTGAAATGATTAAAGATTTGTCAGACAAGCAAGAAAAGCATAAAAGACTGAACAGCAGGTTGTACATGTCTGAAAAGTAGATTAGTGAACTGGAAGAAAGGTCAGTAGAAAATATATTGACCAAAACATAAAGAACAAAAAAGATGCATTATATAGAAAAGTGCTAGACTTATGTAGGACCCAATAAAAAGGTCTAAGATATGTATAATTGGGATCACAAAGAGAGAAAAGAAAGTACATAGGGTAAATGCAGTATTGTAAGAGGTAATGACAGCATTTTTCAAATTTGATGAAACACATTAAGCTACAAATTCTAGAAGCATTAAATACAACCCATAGTAAGTACAAAGCAAACATAGGGAAATTATAGTAAAATAGCTGAAAACCAAAGACAAAATTAAAATGTTAAAAGTACCTAGAAAAAAAAAAGACAGATTAGCATCAAAAGAGCATTAATAAGACTGAAAGCTAATTTCTCAATAGAATCTTTAGGAACCATAAAGGTGATGCAATGACATTTTAAAAGTACTATAAAATGGGGTACCTGGATGACGCAGTCAATTAAGCGTCCAGCTCTTCGTTTCGGCTCAGGTTGTGATCTCAGGGTTATGAGATGGAGCCTGGCATGAGGCTCCATGCTCAGTGCAGAGTCTGCTTGGGTTTCTTTCTCCTTCCCCCTCTGCCACTTCCCACCCCCCCCTCAAATAAATAAATCTTTTGTTTTTTTAAGTACTATAAAACAATACTGCCAACTTAGAATTCTATACTCAGTAAATAATCCTTCAAATTAAAGGCAAAATAAAAGACATTTCAGACCATTAAAATTGAGAAAATGCATCCCAGCAGACCTATACTAAGGGAAATACTAAAGGCAGAATAAAAATAAACATAGCACAGAAACATGGAAATATTTGCAGGAAGGAAAAAAGACAATAGAAAGGGTAAGTATGTGGGATGCCTGGGTGGCTCGGTCAGTTAAGCATCTGCCTTCGGCACAGGTCATGATCCCAGGGCCCTGGGATCGAGTCCCACATTGGACTCCTTACTCAGCGGGGAGCCTGCTTCTCCCTCTGCCTGCCGCTCCCCCTGCTTGTGCACTCATCTCTCTCTGACAAATAAACAAACAAAATCTTTAAAAAAAAAAAAAAGAAAGGGTGAGTATATCTAAATTAATTTTGACTACAAAACAAATGGTAGGGTCATAAAATATGAAATACATATACATAAAGTAATGTGTGGAATTATAATGCATGACTAACACAAAAGTTGGGAAGTTGAAATGGAGTTAAAGTATTCCAAGATCCTAGCATTGTCTGGAAAAGGGTAAAGATACTGCTTTATGGGAGACTACTAAATCAAGGATGCATGTCATAATCTTGTAACTACTAAAAGAATTGTTGGGTACAAGCAAAAAATCAATAGAGGATATAAATAGAAAAAAAATTAAGTACTTTGTTAATCCAATAAAAGGCAAGAAGAGAAAGGAAAATGAACATTAAACAAGTGGGACAAATAGTAAATTTTTACTTATGAACCCAAACTTGTTCTACAGTTACATTAAATGTAAATGTTATTAATATACTATTTAAAGATTGTCAGGCTGAATAAAAAACTACACTTATCCTCCTTGCAAGAGGTACCTCAAATATAAGGACACAGAAATATTGAAAATATAAGAGTGAAAAAGATGTATTATGCAAATATCCATATGAGAGCTAAGATAACTACACTAATATCAGACAAAATGAAGTTTAAGGCAATTTTAAAAAGTGGGGTGTTTTAATACTGTCAGTTATACACACACACACCTAAAAGCATGACTTCAAACATACAGACAAAAGTTCACAGATTTACAAGGAAATCACAATTGTAGCAGAGAACTTTAAATTTTTTTACTGATTATTAGAAAAAGCAGATAAAACAATCAGAATCTAAAAGACTTGAACAGTGCAATGAACTAGGCCTGAGTTATGGGTAAAGAATATTGCACCAATGGCTATAGAATATACATTCTTTTTCTTTTTTTATTATTATTATTATGTTCAGTTCCAACATATAGTACATCATTAGTTTTTGATGTAGTGTTCAGTGATTCACTAGTTGCGTATAACACCAGATACGTTCTTTTTCAAGTATACATGAGACATTTACCAAAATTGATTATGCTGGGCCTCAACAAATTTCAAGAGATTGAAGTAATTTACAGTATGTTTACTGGCCACAGTGGAATTTATGAGAGATTAATAATAAAATCCCTAAATGTGTAGGTATTAAACAGTGTACTTCTGTAAAACCTATAGGTCAAAGAAGAAACTGTAAAGGAAGTTTGAAATTATTTTGAACTAAATGATAAGAGAATATAGCATATGAAAGCTTGTAAGGTGCTGCTAAATCTGTTCCCAGAGGGAAATTTATTTCCTTAAATGTGTATGTATTAGAAAAAAAGAAGGATTTACAAATCATTCATCTAAGTCTCCTTTTGAAATCCCGAGAGAAAGAAGAGTTCATTAAACCCTAAGAAATTAGAAGGAAGGAAAGAAAGGTAAGAGCAGAAATTAGACGGACAACTGAACAATGGAAAAAATAAATACAGGCAAAAGTTCTAGCCTTTGGGACGCCTGGATGGCTCAGTTGGTTAAGCGTCTGCCTTCAGCTCAGGTCATGATCCCAGAGTGCTGGGATCGAGTCCTGCATCGGGCTCCTTGCTCGACAGGGAGCCTGCTTCTCCCTCTGCCTGCCGCTCCCCCTGCTTGTGTGCATGTACTCTCTCTCTCTCTGGCATATAAATAAATAAAATCTTTATTTGAAAAAAGTTCTAGCCTTTGAAACAACTGGAAAATATATAAGCCCTTAGTAGGACTAATTAGAAAGAGGAGATAGGCAAAACAACTAGTATAAGTAAAGGGAAAAGAAGATGTCACTACAGATATATAGACATTAAAAGATAAGAAGATCTTAGGAACAACATTATACTTTTCAATTTGAAATTCAAATGCAATTGGCTACATTTCTAGAAAAACACAACTTTCCAAAACTGATAGGTGAATGATGGAGTTTAGAAAACACTGCACTTGGCTAAAGGGAAGTGGATATAGATGATTCTGGGTCAGTTATTCTCAACACTGGCTGCGCATTATTGTCATCTGGGGAGCCTTTAAAAATGAGCTCCTGACCCCCAGATTCCTGGCTTCTTCCCCAGAAATTCTGATTCAGTTAACAGGGCCCAGACATGAGGTTTTTGTTGTTGTTGTTGTTTTGTTTTGTTTTGTTTAAAGCTCCTGAAGTGATTTTAATGTGCAGTCAGGGGTGAGAACCGCTGTTCTAGATTGAGAGACTGTTGTGTTCATTGGAATGAAGAAATGAAATATCCTCCACTATATTTAGGAAACTGCAAGAGGAGAGGCAGAAAAGGTAGGCACCAAATGGAAGAATTTAGTACCGTATCTGGTAGGACAGTGACACTCAGCTTGTAAATAGAGGACAGGGAGCACATGTTTAGTTTAAATCAGTGCCTTTTAAAACCATTGATTAGTTGATAGCCGAAGTATTATTTCAGAAACATATAAAGAGATCCTGAAATGTATATGTTTGACAAAAAGGGACATTGGTGTGTTTTCTTTCTCTTTTTAAAAAATTGATGTGAAATCCACATAAGATTAACTTTTTTAAAGTGTACAATTCAGTGGCATTTAGTATGTGTGCATTGTTGTGCAACCACCACCTCTGTCTAGTTCCAAAACACTTAATGACCCCAAAAGAAAACCTTATACTCCTTAAGCAGTCATTCCCTATTCTTACCCCACCCAATAACCCCCTCCCCCAGCCCCTGCTAGTGACCCGTCTGCTTTCTGTCTCTGTAGCTTTACCTATATTCTGGATATTCCATATAAATGGAATCATATAATATGTGACCTTTTGTTTAAGGCTTCTTTGACTTAGCCTATGTTTTCAGGGGGTATCCATGTTGTAGCATAATCAGTACCTCATTCACTTTTACGGCCCAATAATATTCCAGTGAATGTACATACCACATTTTGTTCATCCATTTATCTGTTGATAGACATTTGGGTTATTTCCACCTTTGGCAGTTGTGAATAGTGCTGCTCTGAGCATTCATGTACAAGTATTTGAGTATCCATTTTCAATTCTTTTGAGTATACATCTTGGAGTAGAATTGCTGGGCCATATGGTAATTCTATGTTTAACTCTTTGAGGAACACCAAATTGTTTTCCATAGCAGCTACACCACTTTACATTTCCTGATGTGAAGTGGTATATCATTGTAATTTTCATTTGTATTTCCTTAATGACTAATGATGTTGAGCATCTTTTCGTGTCCTTGCTGCCATTTGTTTATCTTCTTTGGAGAAATAATCTGTTCAAGTCTTCTGTCTGTTTTTTAATTGGATCATTCATTTTTTTTTTATTGTTGAGCAGTAAGACTTCTTTATGTATTCTGGATACTAGATCCTTATCAGATATATCATTTGTAAATATTTTCTTCCCATTCTCTGGGTGGTTGTTATAGTTTAAGGCCTAAAACTAAGGTATGTATTATGTGCAACCTTGATGCCTGGTGAAACCTGGAAGGCCTAGAATATCCTCCCTTTGCTGCTCCTGTGGATAAAGGTCCCTTATCTAAACAAGACTCCTTATCCAGGGACCTACGTGTAGTTTCTTCTTATTCCTGAGTAGTGAATTTCA